GGCCCCGTCCGTGTAATATATTTTTAAACTTTTAGTTTAAAAATTATAAAAACTAAACATCCTACAGTATTTTTACAGTCGTTATTTTACAGTTAAAATAAATGTTTATCAAATAAAGTCTAATGTTACAACTAACCTGGGATCCCTTTAAAGCAACCACTCGTGGCCATTTTCTTTTCAGATTGACTGGGTTTTCCCACTTGTCTGCTCCTTGAATGCACATCAGTGAACAWATGAGGGTGGAACAAGCTGAAACAAGCAGCATCTTCAGCTGATGTTGTGTAGAACAACCGCAGCAGCAGTTTATCTTCATACAGCAAAGTTAGCCCAGAAGAATTTTGGACTAAAGTCTTCTGACAGGATCAGTTATATTTAAAGATTTAGAGCTCCTTCAAGAAATATTGCACAAGGTGCAAGGGGTGGGGTAGACCCTGGACAGGTCTTAAGTCCGTCACAGGGCCACATAGAGACAAACGAGACAAACACTCACAATTTAGAGTTGTAAATTAGCCTAACATGCATGTTTTTACTCAGTGGAAGGAAACCGGAGTATCCRAAGAAAACCCACACATGCACAGATAGAGAACATGCAATCTAAGGAGCCCYCAGGCAGAAATCAATCTGGCTACCTTCATAAAATGACCTCAAATTATTCTTCTAAGAGCTCCTCCACTTTCATCACTTCCTACAATTTGTTACCTGCTCACTGCTGCTTACTTCCCATCAATACTGATTCAGCCGATCACCGACATCGTTTCCTGCGCAGCTATCAGGACCTAAATAAGTCAGTCTTATATAACTCAGTATTAGCTTGTGAACGGAGAAAGGATTATAAAAGTAATGAAGCATTTTGTAATATTTTTACTCTACAAAAATGAGACTTTTTTGTATTAAAACTGATAGAATTTGTTAAACAATTATATATTGTTAGGGTTTAACTACTTACTGCTGCTCATCTCACAGATTGTAGCTTATCTCCAAGCTTCCTCCACACTATATGGAGCTCAGTGGACATTTGCTCTGTTCAGTCTGTCTATCTGAGGGATCAGGTGGAGCTATCGCTGCCGTTTCTGTCATCGTTACTGCTGTCAATTTAAGACTCTGTGTGACCCAAACCACCCTGAAGTCAACATTTTTACACCTGTGATAATTTCAATTTTTCATCTCGTTGTAGACGTTGAACTTCAATATAATCTGCACAAAATTTCTCACACAAATCCCTCCAATCTTCCCTTCGCCACTTGCAACAGGGCCGCGTTCATTCTACAAATGYCAGTGCCTGCTGGTGGAGTGTGGGAAAGAGGGAGGAGGTGTACGGGGGCTGCAAGCTGAGCTCACAGTCTTGCTAATGAGACATGATCAAGGAAAGAGACTCTTCAATCCATTAGAGAGGCAGAATTTAACAATGTGGTCAGGTGGAGGGTACAAGGAGATTTGCAGAGTTATTCTGTTATTCTGTAGGTTTTAGCCCATACATCACAGAAATTTCATTTTTGATGAAACATTTTCTTCTTGTGCGATATTTACATGTTGTTTATACAAAGTGAGAGTGAAGGGAGAGCTTCATCTCATGTTTGGTGGAACAAAAAATGAACTGTAAATGCAAAACCTTTTTACCATAACAGTGTTTACCTGTGGCTACAGAATAAATTATTTCTGGTAAACATTATGTGACCCAATAGCAGCAAGTAAAATGGCAACATGTATAATTTCGTATTAAATTTAATGATACATTAAAGGGGTTAATCCAAGATGAGCTAAAAAAAAAAGTTGTTCTAAATAATGTCCTGATGCATCTCAGTAATCCAGGTAAAAAATCAAAAAGAAAAAAATTGCTTAGGTCTTCTGGATGGGTTCTTCTCTAATGAAACGTTTCGTCTCTCCTCCAAGAGACTTCTTCAGTCTGAGAGTTTCAGGCAAAATTCAGGCTTTTAAGCCCGCACTGCCTCCGTGTGACTGATACTCACATCACATGGCTATCGTTGACATCTAATTAACTGAGACGTTTATTTTCTAAACATGATGTCCCAGTGGCTTTCAAACCCCAAAACACATTACGGCAAAGGCTGGTTC